TCTATCTATCTATCTATCTATCTATCTATCTCTCTCTCTCTATATATATATATATATATATATATATATATATATATATATATATATATATATATATATATATATATATAATATAAATATAAATATAGATAACTAGACTCGTTTTCGAAAAACCCTCGAATTTTTGATTTGCTAATCAAATCAATCTCGAGGGAAAAAAAAGGTTTTTAAAAAAGAATGAGCTACAAACATGAACTTCTGCTGTCCAAAAAAAAATCGCACAGATGCAGGTCTGAAGCCCAAAGAAAAAACCCTGATACGAGTAACAACTAACTAACAAAAGAGCTCAATACAACCGTAGAGCAGACCTAGATACACCTAGTGAGCCAGACAAACCTACCTAGGTTTCACCTAAACAGATCGTCAGGGAAAGTTTGGCCAAAATTTCCTGACGATCCGTTTAGTGAAACCTAGGTAGGTTTGTCTTTTCACTAGGTGTATATATATATATATATATATATATATATATATATATAATCTACTTTAATTCAATTATATGTGTGTGTGTGTGTGTGTGCGTATATATATATATATATATATATATATATATATATATATATATATATATATAGTAATAATAATAATCTTATAAATATAAGTAATTATACACGTCTGGAAAAATCTTAGGTGTTTTGGTTTGTAAATGAACAAACCAATATCCAAGGAAAAATAAAAAATAAAAAAAGAAAGAACTAAGAACATGTAATTCAGGCGAAAACAATCGTCCATAATTCAAGCTCAGAGTCCAAAGAAAAAAACCTCCAACACGAGTAAAGTAAAAATAACTAAGTAAAGTGCTCAATGCACTAAGTAGAGCAAATCTAACTATGAACCTAAAGAGCCGGGTAAACCTACCTAGGTTTCACCTACGCGGATCGTCAGGTAGGTTTGCCTGGCTCTTGAGGGTCATAGTTAGGTATATATATATATAGGAGCATAGTTAGGTATATATATATATATATAGATAGATAGATAGATAGATAGCACAGATAGTAATATAATGTGCGTGTCAACAATATGCTCCACCCCCATTGTATAACTCTGTATAGACTCTTTGGGAACTAACATGAGCCGCTAATCGCTGAAGCATACTGACATACAGATGGCAAATATAAATCTGTGATTCATTATTCCACGTCTCTTGCACATATTGATAAAATACAACACAAAGTTGGAGATTGACTAAGTGAAACAGTCAGGTGTCATTCCATCATCTCCTGATGGTGTGGGGAGGAGTCTAACGATCTAATTTTTTGTTTTATATATGTCTTCCATTGTCATGGTGATTATCAAACACGTGCGAACGAGTTCTGTTATCGCTATTTTAGAATTTTAAAATCTATCCGTTGTAGTCATGGAAGTTTTACAAAGCAAGTATTTCGATAGAAGGGAGCTGATCGGGAATTGGTAGAAATATAAAATGGCACTAGTATATAAATGTTATATGCACTTTAATAGGTTGTTGCTATATTCTTAATAAATTTTGTTGAGTATTAGTTGGTTGATTTTGATTTAAAGGTCCTCGAGAATTTGTAGTTTTTGTTTATTATTTTCGTTGCGTTGCCGAGAAGTATTTTTCTGTATTGTGAATATAGACAGGAATGTGTTTTTAAATGTTGCGTGTGTTTAAAAGCAATATGACAACAGAACGCCAATTTTATTGCAGTTACAATAGCATGATTTTCCTTGCAATTTAGCCCTGAAGATGATCTTAGAAAAGATCGAAAGTTCTTGGGTTAGAAAAAACAAACAACGGTGCCTTCTTTGAGGGATTTCATCTAGACATCAAGAAACTAATTAGATCATTAGACAACATGAAACGATCAATATAAGTACACTATATATTATTCAACAAAGTATCTTTAAATAAAGATTGAGTTCTACCTGGATTCTATCCTCTTGGGAATTTATTTATATATATATATATATATATATATATATATATATATATATATATATATATATATATGAATAAATTCCCAAAAGGATAGAATCCAGGTAGAACTCAATGTCCAAGACAGAGTAAGAATATAATATAAAAGGATCAAATACTAATATTCCATGGTTATTAGATCGTAATTACGATTCCAGTATAATAAATTATAACCATGGAACCCTGTTTGAGCTTTTATATATATATATATATATATATATATATGGAGAGAGAGAGAGAGAGAGAGAGAGAGAGAGAGAGAGAACGATATATATATATATATATATATATATATATATATATATATATATACCAGGTGTAACAACAAAATTATCCAAATCGTGTAACATCATAATTGTCTATCCTACAAAAGGTTTAATACCCCCCCAAAAAACTAAACTAATTGATTTTCTTTTTTTCCAGGTTTTCAGATAAGACAGTTAGCCATCTTGACGCCATTTGTCGTAAAAATCACTGAAAAACACTTCGAGTTCTTTTGCTTTTTATGTGCCATGTCCTTTCAGGACATAGGCGATAATGGCTCTCCACCTCCCTCTATCATTTGCAGCTCTCAGCAAATTCCTTCCCTCTGTTTCCTCCCTCAATCCACGTTCTTTCGTCCACCTGCTCAAGTTCGTCAGGTATGTCTCTCTTGCCCTCTATTCACCCCTTTAGTATCAGATTATCCAGGCCCTCCTTCCTCATTATGTGTCCCAGAAACTTCAGCTGCCTCTTTCTGATGTTAAGTATAAGCCTCCTCTCTTTTATTGCATCCTCTCTAAGACCTCATCCTTGCTCAAACGCTCGTTCCATGATATCTTTAGCATCCTTCTTTAGAACCACATCTCCGTCGCCTCGAGTCTCTTCTTCATCTTTGAGGAAATCGTCTTACATTTGCTGTCGTAAAGAAGAACAGATGTCACGTACCAACTCAATATTCTTTTCTTTATTACCAAAGAAATCTTCCTGTCGCGCTATACTCTGGTTTTGGAATGTGTTCTTGGCCATCCTAATACGTCTACGGATCTTAGTGTCGCACTTACCATCTTCTGTCAAGACGCTTCCCAGATTTTTAAACTTCTGCGTCTGCTTGATTCTAGTGAAATCGCATTTCGGCCTCTTCCTTTGACTGATGACCGTGCATTCTGTCTTGCAGTTTATGCTTAGTCATTTCTTCTCACTCTCCGTTGCTACCTTCTGTAGGAGATTTTGTAATTTCTTTTCCGTGTTTGCTATCAGTACTGTGTCATCTGCGTATCTTATGTTGTTAAGGTTGTGACCGCCAATGCTAAATCCCGG